AAGGAGTAATCTGTACAGATCCATCTTTCTTCGTTCTGGAGGTATCTGACCAAATTGATTTAGTATCGGATTGGAGCAAATCTGAGGAAATGTGTATATTGTCTTACTGACGTAGGTTTTCTACAGACATCTCCCTTGAGTGAACCATCCTGTCTTCTGCTCAATTGGATATCAGGGGAGTGTAGTCGATCATCATGTCCTTCTTCACAAGAGAAGATGAGCGATGGATGTGCATCGTCACATTTCATTAACATTTCATTCTTGTCAGCGTTTCCATCAAGAATAATAAACGTATCATCAACATAACGAAGATGAGAATCCGTTTTATCTGTTAGCTCATTCAGTGGAGCATTTTCTAGCCTAGAGAGAAAGAAACCTGCCAAAAGTGAACCCAGTGGAGAAGCAATGGCAATACTGTTGGTATGTCTGTAATGAAGGTTGTTGAGTGTGAAGTGTACATTCAAAGTGCATCCTACAAGTCTCTCTTTGAGACTAATGATTGGAATTCCGATATCGAACTGCTTTTCAAATATTTTTTGGCATACGAACTCTGGAGTCTCTGTCAGAGGTACATTGGTGCACAATGATGCGACATCCAAGGATGGCATATGCTTCCCATTTACACTGAAATCGTGTATGTTATAAATGCAATGAATGCCATCTTTGACACTATGATATACCACCTTCTTGTGTAAAAGTCATAGGAGTTTACCCAGCCACGGAATAATGCAATTCATACTGTAAATATAAGTTACGCCTTCAAGGTATCAAGAAGTGGCACCCCATCTTCTTAAGTGACTTGATATGTGTCCGTGGACGACCCAGTAATCGTAGACGCTCAAGTTCGGGAATGCATCCAGCCATTTTACCTGAAACTCATCCTGTCACGGAAGTTATTATTCACCAATGTCATGAAACTGAATGACATATAAGAGGAGCTCATATTTCGTCAGCCATACGTGGGAAATATTGGATATTGAAGTGAATGGCAGTAGCTAAGCGTATAGTGAACAGATGCACTATTTGCCAAACCAGGTATACATAATCCACCTTTAGTAATATGAGTGACGTCGGATTTTCCATTTTCTAGCACTGGAGTAGATGAGTTCGGCCCCTTTAGAGTTAAGCGGGGACGCACCACAGATAGAAGATATGGGTGTATATTTAACTGTATTATTGAAAACTTGGTCAGTTCACTTAGAAGTGGCCCACACTCTTTCCGTCGATTCATTATTGATGATGCGTTCACGCCTCACCAAATATAGAGGGGCTCCAAAGGAGATGTACTGTGACTGAGGTAGAAATTTTGTTGGAGCTGATCGTGAATTACGCTCAGTTGTATCACAACTGGACAGCGAACATGTAACTAAACCGATGACGAATCGTGGCATAGAATGGCACCTAAACCCACTTAATGCTAGTCACCCTGGGGGAGTATGGGATAGGTTGATCAGAAGCGTGCTCCGACTATTCAGGGCGATCTCGAAAGAGCGAGGTGTGTATCAAGACACCTAGAGGTGTAATCGACTGCGATATACGTGTGGTTTGCCTATTAGAAGTTGCTGTGCAACGGTGGACATCTTTAGGGAAATATGTCTGAATAGTGGAGACAGATGTGACCAGAGTAGATTACACCGCTTCCGCATCTTGTCAGGAGGTAGACAAGGCAGAATCAGGCTGGTTTCTATAGATTGCAGTTAATTTCCTTCCAATCAATCGTTAGTCATTCTTTCTTTCGTGTTTAAATTTATACTACTTACCGAGAGTAAGTAGAATGAGATTATTTGTTACTTCGATAATATGACTTCGTTTGCCAATGAAGTTCAAAACCCTTGATGCATTGGTAACATATTTGACGTCTGGAAATTGATTTCTTATAGTAAAACATTCTCCGCTGTATATGCCTTATTTCAGTACCGGTTACGGTTGGCAATTGTGCATTCAAATCTTTTTATTCTGTGTCTGCAATTCATGGATTATTAAAATCTACACGTGGATCGCCTCCAACACACCAGATCAGTTATTAGGTATTTGCGGAAATTGACTGTGCTTTCGATGGTGTTCATTTACAGACAACTCACAATCGAGGTTTGCACAATAAATTTCATTATTCTATGTTTATATAGTATCGTAGTTCAGACGAATCCTGTGTTTTTGGAATTTATGCGTCACTCTACGTGTCGTTTGAATAATCGTCCCGAATTTCTTTTCGAAAACATTCACAATGTGTGACTAACACACAGAGAATTTTAGAAATTAGCTCCGATCATGTTCCATCTACATATGTCCAACATAACCTGCGAGGATAAGGGATAAAAGTTCTAAGAGCTTTGCGTTCCCAACTATCTATCAATTCCTGGGTAACTTTACGAGATATTTGTGATCCGACTGAAACCTTGTAGTTTCATTTGTTTGGTTGAATATTTTGGTCGGATAATTGACTACACTGAAGGTTAGGCATAAATGTTCATCTGAAGTTATCTAATCAACCGAGGATTTCGTACTATTTGTGTGTTACCGATCAGTGTCGAGCTCATTCCTTGACTTAAAGGCAACCACACTGTCTGATGTTCATCGACATACACGTTACTCTTAGATGCTGCTACTAGTACTATTGGCAACGTTAATGGTGTGAGATGTTGTAACAATTAGATAATGTTACTACTAATATTATTGCTAGTAGTATTAGCAGTACTACAAGTAGCATTGATATCCGTAGGCGGTGATCGTCAATAATCTTCAATAAACAAGCAGAATATCAGTTCACTCAACAACAAACGAAGTCTCAATGTTGGCTTCTCTCAATTTATCGTCGCATTATGTCAGTATGCCAAATGAACAACACTGATGCCAAATATCTCTGTGCTCTGCTATCACTATGCAAGCATCTCAATGATCCGGCCATCATACTCCTTTGTCATACCTGTGTATACACAGAATGACACCACTATTTCTCTTATTTCTTCTAATCACCACATTATTGCGTGATTCATTAACCTGGCTCCGCTTTCACTCAGGTCATTCTCATGGTAAATTCACTTTTCTCTTTATAAAATCTCTTGTCAACAAACTGATAGATAAATAAATAAATAATTAATTAATTAAGACGATGAGATGAGGAGAGATTCCAGTTTATTAACTAGAGAAATTGTTTATCACAGTGTGGAATGTGATCACGCCACACCGTCAATACGGAGGCATGATTACGTTGTTTATCGTAGATCAGTGAAGATCACCGCCTACGGATATCAATGCTAATTGTACTACTACTACTACTGCTACTAGCAATAGTATTAGTAGTAACATTTTCCAACTGTTACAGCATCTCACACCACTAAGACGACGAGTAATACTATTAGTAGTAACTTAATTCAACTTGTATGTTGGTGAACATCAGACAGTGTGGTTGCCTTTAAGTCAAGGAATGAGCTCGACACTGATCGGTAACACACAAATAGTACGAAATCCTCGGTTGATTAGATAATTTCAGGTGAACATTTATGCCTAACCTCCAGTGTGGTCAAATATCCGACCAAAATATTCAACCAAACAAATGAAACTACACGGTTGCATTCAAATCACA